GTAGACAATTGGACATTCCCTTACAGAAGGGTTTTGGGGAGGAGATGAGCCGGCCAGGATGCAGTGTAGCAAGGACAAAACATACAACTTTCCTCTAGTTTTTAAATGCTTCCTCTCCCCCACCTCCCTTGCCCTGCCCCCCACCACACACACACTATCATGATCCCAATTCTACCTTACAAATCCGGCTAGACCAGAGGATGTACACTGGTACAGATAAGAGCTGGAAACATGGGGAATCCAAGACAGATAAACCACTCAGGACCAATATTCAGAGTAGTGATACCAGGAGGGTAAGGGAAAGGGGGAACTGATAACAAGGATCTACATATAACCCCCTCCCTGGGGGACGGACAACAGAAAAGTGAGTTAAGGGAGACATCGTTCAGTGTAAGACATGAAAAAATAATTTATAAATTATCAAAGGTTTGTGAGAGAGGGAGAATGAGGGAGGAAGGGAGTGGGGGAAATGAGTAGCTGATACCACAGGGACTCAAGTAGAAGGAAAATGTTTTGGAAATGATGATGGAAACAGATGTGCGAATGTGCTTGACACAATGGATGGATGTATGGATTGTCATAAGAGTTGTACAAGCCTCCAATAAAATGATTTTTAAAAATTCAGTCTGAAGAGCTAAAAACTGCCGAAGAAATCATACTTATTTGGTATCTCTGTACATGGAAAGTGATTGGAAACCTTAGTGAGGAGGTCTGGTGTGCCTAATTCCTACCTCCAATGGCAGAGGTGCCTGGGGAACTCTGGGTGCCATCTGGGGGGGTCTGGGTTCCTAGTGAGTAATGTCCTGCAGTTAGGGCTCCAGAGGGTGAAGCTCTGGGGTTCTTTGTCTTCTGTTGCTGCTGGTCATTTCCAGTGTCAGAGTTCACAAACGGGCTCTTATTCTAGGCTAAAATGACAGTTTTCCAAAATGCCTATTGCCATTGAGTTGATTAGGACTCACAGTGACTGTGTTAGTCCGGGTAGACTAGAGAAACAAATCCATAGGAACTCATGTGTGTAAGAGAGAGTTTTATATAAAGGGTACATTAAGAAGGCATCCCAACCCAGTTTGGTCCAAGCCCATATGTCCAATACCAATCTATAAAGTCCTCTTCAGACTCACGAAGCACATGCAATGATGTCGAATTCAGGACAGTCACAGGCCAGTGGGCAGAAAGCCTTTGGATCCAGTGGTGTTGCAAGCATCTCAGCGGTGGCAGGGGTCTCCATGTGGCTTTTCTGGCTTCAGAGGTCTGGTTGCATCAGGGTAGGTTCATGTGGCTGTTCCACCACAGGGGGGATAGGGGAAGAAAAGGAAAGAGTGGAGCGCATACTGACTCACGGAGCCCTGGGGACAATATGCCTCTTCGGAACAGTGATGCACAGAGCCATCTAGCTGAGAGACAACAAAACCCACACAGAAGAAGCACACCAGCCTACCCCTACTCGAT